TTTGCTGCATACCTGAAACTAACACATTATTAAGCAACTCTGCTCCAACACAAAACAAAAATGAAAACAACCACTGTTTCAGCTTAACAGTCTCTGGGGAAACCGCAGGAGTTGCCACAGGTGACATAGCTGGACCCTCTCTCCACACGGCTTCTCATCCTCCAGGGGGCTGCCCTGGACTCCTTCACGTGGCTCAGTTCAGGCAAAATCACACAGGTCTCCTGGGCCCAACAGAGAAAGCAGCTGAGCACGAAGGGAAAGCCCAGCAAAGTGGGCAGTGCTTCCCCTCAGGTCTGAAGCCAGAAAGACACAATGGGAGCTTAACTGAGTGGAGTTCAAGTCTCCGGGAAGGCGGAAACTGCCTACATCCCATTTCCAGTTGCCTGTGTATCACTATATTTAACATATAACATATATATGTGTATATATATACATACACATATATCACTGTATTTAACATATAATGATAGAAATTGTATGCAGTTGAGTAAGTGGTGTACATGGTAGGGTCTTATTGGCTGGAAGTCTAAGGAAGAGTCTGGAAGGGTTGTGCTAACGGTCCCAGCAGTTGGGATTCCAAGGCTACAGAATAGGGTCTGGTACCCAGTATGTGGGGTGGGTAAGAGCTCTCTTATGTGTATTTTTACCTGGGTGACCAAAGACAGCCATACTATGGATTAATAGTCCAGGGTATATGTCAAAGGGCTCTGTCTTTGGCTTTTTTCTGGTTTAATATATTCACAATTTGAAATTTTATTTCTCCAAAGTGAGTTCTTTTTAAAAAAATTTTTGACAGACCCTCGTGGTGCTAGTGGTAAAGAAACTGCCTGCCAAGGCGGGAGACGTTAGAGACACAGGTTCAATCCCTGGGTTGGGAAGATCCCCTGGAGAAGGGCATGGCAACCCACTCCAGTATTCTTTCCTAGAGCATTCCATGGACAGAGGAGCCTGATGGGCTACAGTCCATTGGGTCATAAAAGAGTTGGACAAAACTGAAGCAACTTAGCACATACACACATGCAGTGTTTGATTTAAACTATTTTAATATTACTTAAACATAGACACAAATGAGATTCAATGTTGCTGATGGTTTTTATATAACTCCAAAGCTAAAAGTTAAAAATAAAATGCAAACCCCATGAAAGTCAAGTGAATAGCATTAACATGACAGGTGATATTCTCTGGCTGACATGAAATCACTGGTTGAGCTCACGTGGTCCTGACAGTGACAGTGGGTGCTTTCGAGCTCTGTAAGGTAATCCTAGAAGGGCTTGGGGATGTCTGTGAGTCATCTTTCCACAGCCTGATGCAGTGTCGTCAGCCTCAGTTCAGCTTGGCACACACACACCCAGTTGCCTAATTTTCTTTTCTCATCAGCCTGGACCACTTTTTACAACGGCAGTCTTTAACACAAATGGAAACTCATGCACCAAATACCACATTGGTCTCAAGACAACTAGAGCTTTCATTTTTTATATGTTCATTGAAAGGAAAGCAGAAAGTTTCAGATTCCTATAGAGAACTCATTCAAACAAGAATGGCTGAGCACCAGCAAGGTGCTGGGCAGCTGCTAGATGCTGTAGGTACACTGATGAACTACACCAAGCATGCTCCCACCTGCAGGATGAACTGAACTGGGGATGCTGGGGTTTGCAGCTGACACAGGGTTGGGACAGCAATACATGAAAGCAGGACCTGGTTATAAAGAATCCTTACATTTTCTTCTCATGGTAATATTTTAAAATTCCTAAGTCAACTACATTTACTGTTTAGAACTTGCAAGCGATATGAAGTCTGTAAACCAATAACTCTAAGCTAGTACCCTCTAACCCAACTCCTCAAGAGTCACAACTGGGCTAACTTGAACCTTCCAGACTTTTCCATGAGATCAGAAAGCACTGAACAAATTGATTGGGTGCAGAATTCCTTAGTCTCTTGCATTCTTCTCCCCTCAGTGACATTTTCTAAAAGGATTCCTTCTTCTGTGAGAGAATCTTCCTAGATTGAAGCTACAAGGAATCATAGAAACTGGCCAAAACTTCAATTTTGTAGAATCACTACCTTGTTCTAAAATTCGTGAAAAGGATTAAAGATACTGTATACAGAACACCTGGCATACAGTAGACACTTAATAAATGTTGACTGCTATTATTATAATTTAAAATACAGGTTGTTCTTAAAATGTACCAGCTCTTCCAAGTATAGTGTTCTATATCTTGATTATGGAGTGATGGTAGTTCTTTTTCCAACAATCCTGGGAAAAAAAATTGTCTTTTCATGTGGCTGCCCACTGGGGATTACAGCTTTCCATAATCTTTGGAACACCACTTCGCGGTTGCCCTTGCATTTAATATAATATCCCCTTGTCCCCACAGAGGAGATGTTGGAGGAAGGTGGAGGTTTGGTCATTTGAATTGAGACAGGGTGTAAGTGTCGGGACCATATTTCTTTTCCAACTCTAAAATCTAATTTCCTCAGAAGTGTGTTTAACAGTTCAGCATTTACAGCTCAAGTTCCTGGCGTCCCATCCGCTCACATTCACCACATCACTTAGGTAATGCTTGGAAAGTACTTTGGAGGAAATGGGCCCAGAAGTGCTAAGTAGAATTACACGATACAAGTCGACAGTGGGGAGCCACAGTGAATAGATAAAATCTCCTGTCTGCACTACATCTCATTTTCTCCAGTAGATTTTATGGAACCCTCATGTGTTACACTGGAAATAAAGCAGGAAGTCACATTTTTATGAGTAATATGTGTGTTGAATATTGAAAAAAAGTAACAAAGTAGTGAAAGGCATTATTTGCACTCAGTTGGGCATAATAAAAACAGTCGGAAATTAAGGGTCAGTCACTTTCCATTAAGTAATATTTTTAATAAATAAAAAATAAAGACAGGAGGAGGTAAATCGCGAAAGGGAAACAGCTTGGGACATTTTTCTTATTCAGGGAAAGTGGTTCTGGAGAATTTTAAAGGTTCCTTGTGCATGAAGAACTTCTTAAGAACATTCACTCATACATTCATTTGCTCATTAAGTCAACTTTTACTACATTCCTTCAGAGAGCTGAGTGCTGGGCTAGGTACTGATGTAGAAGGTGTGGTCTCCTGGAGGCAAGGTAAAGTGTGTCCCTGCAGGACACAGAGAAGGAAATCCTCTGAGAGGTTCATAGAGAGTGTCTCTGGAGGAGGTGACAACCAAACTGTCACGAGGATGAGTGTTTTCTAGGTGGAGATAAACAGGAAGGGATTCGTGGTGGTGGAATAGCAATAGGAGAAGCACAGAGGTGAGAAAGGCAAGGACAGGTGAGGAAATAAGGTTTAATGACCTGGAACCATCATGTTATGTCTAGAGCTGAGGCCAGAACAAGACGCTAGCTCTCATTTCACAGCACCTTGTAGGGATTGCTAAATGTGAGCGTCCTTTCTCCCTTCTTCAGAGAGGCCTATGCTGACATATCTGTGGAAATGGTGCATTCCACTCAATTAAATTCAGCAAATATGCCTAGGGCTATCCTGAAGACATGCAGATGAACATAAAAAGATTCCCATGGTCCAATGTTTGCAACGCAGTGGCATAGTGTTCCTCCACACACTTTCAGCATTCACTTCAATCATTCGTTGCTCTATCAGTGGGCCCCACATGCTGTGCATCACTTCTAAGATCGAGAGCAGTATGGCACCAAGGGAGGTGTGGGGCTCTGGTGCTGGACTTCCTGGGCTCAGCTCTCGAGTCCCACAGATTCTAGTCTAGCCGTGTGAGTTCCGGCAAGCTAACGGGTTTCCTCCTCTGCAAAACTGGAGCCCTTGTGGTTCAGACTCACAGGGCTGTTGTGTGGATGAAGTGCGAGGAGGCAACACATCACTCAGTCGGCACCTGGCAAGTTATAAGCAGTGGAGAAATGGGCGCTGTTGTTACAGGCACATCAGATCTGTGCTCCATGGAAGACCCGTGCCCAGGGAAGAAACCACTACCGCCCACTGCTCCTGTTCTGGGGCTGCTCTCTGTACACTCAGAAATAGGTAAGATGATAGACTATATGTTACAAATATTTTGCCACAATAAAAAAAAATTTTTTTTAAGCAAGCAAACAGGTCAATGGCCAAATTTATGCCTTGGGCCATAGTTTGCCAACCCCTGGTCTGAGGTTAGGGGTGATGATAATCAAAGAATAGAAAGAAAACTTTTGCATTAAGTGTTGGTGAGCGCTGTGGAGGCAGGGCATTTTGGAGGCCTCTCTGAATCTCTGAGACTTGGCTGTGTGGGTGGTCAATCACAGATGCTCAGCACACATTCGATGAATGAACTGTAGTTCCTAGCAGCAGACTCCTGGAGAGGGTTGAGTCTGGAGTGAATCAAACAGGGAGGGAAAGGAGGGAAGGAGTAACAAACATCATTTCCATTGGAGGAAAACTGGTTTCAGTAACACCGAGGCTCTCCCCCAAAAGTAAAAGTTCCAATCACCCACATTAAAGGTATCCCATGTCCAGGGACCCTGTAATAAGCCTCTGAAAAGCCACCATGTCTGTCTCCTCTACGGAGCTGCATTCTTTTCAGTGTTCGTTGTTTTTAAGGTGTCCCTAAGGCCATGTCAGAAAATCTTTTGGGAGGATTTCCAACTCTCCCGCTGTACTGTAAATGCAAGGCATCTAGGTTTAAAATAAGAGAACAAAGTCAGCACCAGTGGCCTGAAGACCCACATCATATGCACTCTCTTGGCGCCATGTTGCCTGAGCGGGGGAATGGGTGACGAGGGGGTGGCCTGGTTTCCTCACGCATAAACCCTGGAAGCTGCCACCCTCAGGGACAGCATTCACGTCCTCCACTTATGCCCACGCTTCCCCATTCTCTCTGAACTACCTATGGGCACAGTTGTTCTATCAGACCCATTTCTTTAAAGGATACCTCCCCTCAAGTTTGGAAACGATTTTACTGAGAAATGGAGACGACACAGAATCACATTATCAAGGGGCATCAGAAAGGACTTCTGGAGCCTTCAGAACTAATGCCCAGTTCTTAGCCTTCCTCTCAGAAAGTCAGACCCGGGTCGGGCGCAGGGAACTCTAAAATCCATTTCCAAAGCCAAGACCTGCTCCCGTTTTATAAGGTTAAATGTTGAAAGTGGGTTTGATCGTTGGCTCCGCAAAAATGGAAGAGGAAGAAAAGGGACAAAAATGTGGCTTTTCGGGCTAAGACTTTTATCAAAAGCAGGTACACTGTTCAACACAAGCTGAGAGACAAAGGGCGCCTTGTGTAGCTCCCTCCACAGGTGGTTCTCAAGCTGCAAGGGGAGGAGAAGACTCAGGGGATGTTTTCCGTGTGCCCTGGAAAAGAAAGAGCGATTCACGAGAGCTGCACCAGGACCTGGCTTTGAGGTGCGCCCGCAGGCCCAGCTGGGCCAGCGGTCATGTTTCATCGTAAGGAGAGGAGGCCTGCAGGGAGCCAGGCCTGGGGGAGGCAAAGGTTTCCCCGTGGCCCAAGGGCGACACAGCCTCCCCTGAAAACATAATCGGAGCAGGCAGGCGTTCAGCAGGTCCCTGAGCAGGCCTCCTCGGGTCTGGGCGCCCAGCAGGGAGGTGCAGGTGACGAGAGACAAGCCCTTCTGCTTGGCAGTCTGTTCTCTGAGGCACTTCCGACCGCAGTGGACCTCACTGTCCACCATGCAGCCACTGGCCAAAGGCCCCTACTGAGGACCGAAAAAGTGGCTGCTCTGAAATGAGGTGTGCTGACAATTTAAAGGCAATTCCAAGAAAAGTGAGCTCAAAATAAGGAGCTGTGAAATGTCTCAATAATTTTATAACTGGTTTTGAGCTTTTGAATTGTTATGAGAGGATATACCGAGTTAAATAAAACATGATTGACTGTACCTGCAAAAATTGATTTTACCTGATTTTACCTTTTAATAATGGTGACTGCTAGAAAATTTTAAATGGTATATATGGCTCATATTATATTTCCTTTGGGCTATGCTACCTTGGAGAATGCTCAGCCAGAATGGCTCTGACATTCTGAACTAATTTTCTTTGGGGTACTGGATAAAGGAGAGATTAAGAGGCAAGGACACATCGAGTGAAGAACGTGCTTATGGTTCCGAGTCCTGCAGCCCCTGATTTGACGTAGGTCATTCCCATAGCACCAAAGCAGCCTGTCTCCCTCTTTGTGGCTGTGTCCCTCATGTCTGATTCACACTGTGGTCCCGGCACCCAGCTTGGCGTGGAGAGGCCCCTGGGTTTGTCCTAGGAAGGGGTGTTCTGTCTGGTCTCAGTTAAGCTCCCTTTGTGTCTAGTCATCTGTAAGTCACCCCAAAGGCTGCTTCTGGGGACCGACAGGCTATCAGCGAGGGGGACAGACAAGATTGGGCTGCATGTCTCTCATCCTCCAGCAGCAAACCTGAGCTCATGGCACGTGGACAGGTTCCAAAATGGCGAGTAGAAGGTGCAAGGCCCCTTGTGGCCTAGTCAGAGCCATACACTGTCCCTTCTGCCACATTCTGTCGACCAGAGCCATCACCAGGCCAGTCCAGATTCCAGGGGCTGAGGAACAGACTCTCCCTCCTGACAGAGGAAGCTTCAGAGTCATATGGTAAGACCTATGCCTCAAGGGAGGGAAACACTTCGGTCCATTTTTAAAAACCAATCTATCACAGGGGCTGTCTACTTCCCTTAGTTATCCCTTGTCCATTATAGCCTAGACTCCAGCCAAACTGTAATTCTCACTTCCCAAACACGACGCCAAACGCGTTCAGATTTCTCTGTTCTTGCTTGGACTTGTGCTTCTTTGACCTCAACTGCCTCTTTCATCCCCTCATGCCTTCACCCTTACTCAAACTGTCTTTGTTTTTTATTTTATTTTTTATTTTTTATTTTTTTCAATTTATTTTTATTAGTTGGAGGCTAATTACTTTACATCATTGCAGTGGTTTTTGTCATACATTGAAATGAATTAGCCATGGATTTACATGTATCCCCCATCCCGGTCCCCCCTCCCACCTCCCTCTCCACCCGATCCCTCTGGGTCTTCCCAGTGCACCAGGCCCGAGCACTTGTCTCATGCACCCAACCTGGGCTGGTGATCTGTCAAACTGTCTTTGAAAGGGTAACTTACGACTCCAGGTTTAAAGCAGCTGATTGAAGATGTATTCTCCTCTGCTCCCTCTTGAAAACCTAGGAAAAGGACATAAAGGGGACTTTCTATAACGATGCATAAACCCACAAAGGCAAAGAGAAGAGAAACTGACAGCTGGTAAACTATTTCAACAAAATGCAGGGATGTGGAAATCAGATGCACAGTGCCTAACTGAGCAGACCAGAAAGGGATGTGTGATCAAGCGATCAGTCTCCAGCGGAACACGAGCAGCCAGGAACCAGGGGCTGGGTGCCCGGCAAGGCGGGGTGGGAGGCGCTCAACTGTGCATTTGTTGAGTTTACAGGAAGCCACTGATCCCTGGATCTTCCCATCCTCCCCACACACGCAGGTGAATAGCCTTCTTCACCCAGAGGCTCATAGGTTTCATCCTGAAGAGGCTTAGCTTGAGGAACTCTGGAGTTGGGAAGGGTAGACATAGCTCATGGCGCCATTCTGAAAAGAGAGATTAAGGAGATGTCTATCTCCTTAAAGAGGAGGTTTCACAAGAGGGTGAAACTTTCAGCTGCATGCGCAGCCTGGCTCTGGAAAAGTTGGCAACCAGCTTTATACATCCTGAGCAAGAGCCCAAAAGATTCTTCTTTAGGGAAACGGACCAACTCAAAAAGAAGATGTTAAAATGTTGACATTTGTGAGTTGCTCAATAAAATTATCAGGATAGTTGCCTGATTCCCTCATAGGGAAGCCTCCGTGCACAGCCCTAGCTAGCTCTTCCATACACGTAGTTCCAGGCAGCTTGAAACAGGAACTATTTGCCAAGGTCAAGAGACATTCGAACAAAGCCTCTACTATGACAGACAGCAATAAAACCAACAACAACCAAAGAGACGGGGAGGTGGGTGGTAGAAGTTGGGTAATAAGAAAGGCAAGTCTAAGTTTGTATAAACAAAAGTCAATATATACTACTTACCTCTGAAAACATTAAGTAGTAGCATCTTAGGCATATTAGTTAGACATATATTGGTAGCAGAGTTAAAACTGGAAAGTGCTGGAAATCATTGTTTCTAAGGAGGAAAAAGAGGGCTTGGATGATTTCATGAAAAGTCTTATAAAACTATTAGATGGACTCAACTCTGTACATGCATTAGTTTGTCAGGAGCAAAGATTATTGTTTTTTTAAATAAACAACACCTACTTAAACATCCTCTCTTCTGAAAAGACTTCGCAGTCTCCCGAGCAAGTCCATGGCTATACTTTATGTGTTTTCCTGTAACTACATTCAAAGAACTATGTTCATAGTTTATTGAAAGTCATGAATGAATACATTGAGGAAAACACAGCCATGCATTTAACCATGTTTTATCTGTAATGTATCTGTTAGACTGCCTACCTTTTTACTAGGCTTTATGCTTTTTGAAGTCAGAGCTAAGCCTTAATTTAGCATTGGGCATTCAGAAGATGTTCCCTACATATGAGGGGTAGGGAATGGAGATTAAATTACAGCTACTTCATAAGGCAAAATTTTCTCCCTTTAATTCATTTTCTATTTTATTTTTAATTTATCAATTTGTAATTAGTCTTGTTCCTAAAAGGAATCTACTCTGACTTGTTAAAACATATCCAAGTACAAAAAAAAAGTGAAGAAATCAGGGCACATGGGAAGCCTGTCCTTAAAAAGTCATACCAACATACTATTTAAAACAAGAAAGAAGGAAGGACTGGGGAGGGAGGGATGAGAAACACAAGCAGGACAGCAGGAAGGAAGGACATTTAAGTGTCATCAAATGGCCAAAAGAATTTGCCCAATGCTTGCACTTCATATCCGCCCCACCATCCACTCTGGAAATTTCACAGCCAGCTCTTCGCTCAGGCTGTCTGTCCTTTGCGCTAACCAGTCCTTTCCACTGGCCAATGACTGATACCGACTCATCCTATAAGACCAGGCCAGCCAAGGTGTAGTCCGTGGATGTGCACCTGTCTGTTTTCTGCATTTTTTAAATTGGGGTATAATTACTTTACATTGTTGTGCTAGTTTCTGCTGCACAATGAAGTGAATCAGCTGTATGTGCAAGTATATTCCCTCCCTCTTGCACCTCCCTGTGACCCCCCCACTCCAGCCATATGTTATCACAGAGCGCCAAGCGGAGCGCCCTGTGCCATGTGCAGCAGCTTCCCATTAGCGATTTTAAACCAGTTAATTGAGGTAAGTTGAAAGAGAGCATTTAGATATGTTATATTGTGATATGTTAATTTCATATCTTTGTACTCTAATAACAAAGTTGGGCTTGATTTTTTAAAAATTTTACTTTCCTAGTCAATCATTTTATTGTATTTGCAAGGTAGACTGAAAATTAAAAAGGGAAAAGCATTAGCCCTTTAGTATAGTTTGAAAAGCTACTTTAAGACTCCTTTCAGATATCACCTCCTCCAGGAAGCCTTACTATTTTCTCTCAGGTTCGGGGAGGGTGCTTCTCCTTGGCTATACTTCCACAAAGCCAAGCAAGTTTCTGACCTTGTGCAGTTCAAGTATCCGTTTGTAACTGTTTCCTCCAACAACTGTGAGCTTCTTGAGGGCAAGCATTGTATCGCTATATCTTAGTTATCTTTGCACCAAGGACAAAGCCCACATCAGATGTTTAATAAATGTTTGCCAAATATAAGAAACTGAGCAGTCTTGCTTGGGTATACACAGCCAATAGGGGATTCAGTAGTACCTGCTTATCTAAGTTTCCATTATTAATCAAATCATCTTTTGATTGACAATCTTTCTTTCAAACATGTTTAATTATTAGACACAGCTATTACATTAGATCTGATAGGCAAATTGCCTGAAAAACTATGGATGGAGATTAATAACACTGTATAGGAGCCAGTGACCAAAACCATCCGAAAGAAAAAGAAATGCAAGAAGGCAAAACTGTTGTCTGAGAAGGCCCTACAAATAGCTGAGAAAAGGAGAAATGAAAAGGAAAGGAGAAAGGGAAAGATATATCACACTGAATGCAGAGCTCCAAAGAATAGAAGAAAAAGATAAGAAAGGCTTCTTAAGTGAACAATGCAAAGAAACAGAGGAAAACAATACAATGGGAAAGACTAGATATCTCTTCAAGAAAATTGGAGATATCAAGGTAACATTTCATGCAAAGATGAGCACAATAAAGGACAAAAACAGTAAGGACCTAACAGGAGCAGAAGAGTTTAAGAAGATGGTGCAAGAGTATATAGAAGAACTGACAAAAAAGGTCTTAATGACCTGGATAGCACCATGGTATGGTTACCCACCTAGAGCCAGACATCCTGGAGTGTGAAGTCAAGTGGCTCTTAGGAAGCATTACTATAAATAAAGCTAGTGGAGGTGATGGAATTCCAGCTGAGCTGTTTCAAACCCTAAACGATGATACTGTTAAAGTGCTGCACTCAATATGCCAGCACACTAGAAAACTCAGCAGTGGCCATAGGACTGGAAAAGGTGTTTTCATTTCAATCCCAAAGAAGGGCAATACCAAAGAATCTTCAAACTTTCAAACAATTGCACTCATTTCACACGCTAGCAAGATAGAGCTCAAAATTCTTCAAGCAAGGCTCCATCAGTATGTGAGCCAAGAACTTCCAGATGTACAAGATGGATTTAGAAAAGGCAGAACTGGAGATCAAATTCCCAACATCTGCCAAATCATAGAAAAAGAAAAAGAATTCCAAAAGCATCTACTTATGCTTCATTGACTGTGCTAAAGCTTCTGACTGTGTGGATTACAATAAACTGTGGAAAATTCTTAGAGATGGGAATACCAGACCACCTTACCTGCCTCCAGCAAAAGCTATATGCAGGTCAAGCAACAGTTAGAACTGGACATGGAACAATGGACTGGTTCCAAATTGGGAAAGAAGTACACCAAGGCTGTATATTATTACCCAGCTTTTTCAATGTATATGTAGAATACATCATGTGAAATACTGGGCTGGATGAATCATAAGCTGGAATCAAGATTGCAGGGAGAAATATTAACAATGCAGATGACACCACCCTAATGGCAGAAAGGGAAGAGGAATAAAAGAGCCTCTTGATGAAGGTGAAAGAGGAGAGTGAAAAAATTGGCCTAAAACTCGACTTTCAAAAAACAAAAATCATGGCATCTGATCCCATTACTTCATGGCAAATACACAGGGCAACAGTAGAAACAGTGACCGACTTCCCAAATCACTGTGGATGGTGACTGCAGCCATGAAATTAAAAGACGCTTGCTCCTTGGAAGAAAAGCAATGACAAACCTAGACAGTGTATTAAAAAGCAGAGACATCGCTTTGCCAACAAAAGTCCATATAGTCAAAGCTATGGTTTTTCCAGTAGTCATGTATGAATGTGAGAGTTGACCGTAAAGAAGGCTGATTGCCAAAGAATTGATGCTTTCAAATGTGCTGTTGGAGAAGATTCTTGGGAGTCCTTTGGAACATCAAGGAGATCAACCCATTGAATCCTAAATGAAAGCAACCCTGAATATTCATTGGATTGTCCAATATTCATTGGACAAATGCTGAAGCTCCAATACTTTGGCCACCTAATGTGAAGAGTGACTCACTGGAAAAGACCCTCATGCTGGAAAAGATTGAGGGCAGGAGGAGAAGAGGACAACAGAGGATGAGATGGCCGAATGGCATCAGTGACTTAATTGACATGAGTTTAAGCAGACTCTGGGAGATGGTGAAAGACAGGGAAGGCTGGTGTGCTGCAGTTCATGGGGTTGCAAAGAGTTGGACACAACTTAGGAACTGAATATTACTATCCTGGGAGCCATTCTGACAAGTTTGTTTAGCATAAAGCTGTAAAGCTTTTCTCTGTATTTCATTTTGTGTTGATTTCATAGATTAACCCTGAGTAATTTTTCTAATTTTTGAGTTCAAATGAAATTTTTGCTCTACCACATTGCTCATATGGGAAAATGAAACCATTTTCTTGTACCACTATGAGGAAAATAGCATATAGTATATTCATATAACAGTACTATACATAGCACATATTAGACTTAAAATAAGTTTTTCTCTCAAGGTATGGCAAACTTTAGGCATATAACTTCTTCCCCTTGTATCTGAGGCAAACATTGCTAAATAATCATACTTTTATTATATTGACCTAAACCACCATGGTGGTTCCCTGGTGGCTCAGTGGTAAAGAATATGCCTGCAATGCAGGAGATGCAGCAGGAGATATGGGTTAGATCCCCGGGTCAGGAAGATCCCCTGGAAGAGGGCATGGCAACTCCAGTCTTCTTGCCTAGAAAATCCCATGGACCTGGCAGGCTGCAGTTCATAGGGTCACAAAGAGCCAGACACAACTGAAGAGACTTAGCATGCATGCTGCATGCACCCACTGACATAAACAGACCCTAGGCTGCTATTCAGCCACCATCAACTGAAGAGAAATGTAAATACACAGCTTATTTGTCACCCTCAGTACATATCATGCAACTCAGGATATGAGTGTAGGCTAAGACTGAAGCAAGTGATGATCCCAATTTCAAACTAGTTTTTAACAAGTGTAGGATAGCAAGTCTAGTCAGCTTGCATTAGATGGTATAGAAAATGAGAACATACTTGTCTTCAGATTTCCTGAAGATGCAAGAACTATTACACTATGGAAGGAGAGGCAAGAAGTCCTTCTGGATGGTAATGCAGTCTCTGATTCTAAGAAACCAGAAGAAATGTAAACAGGTTACAGCTGGATTAAGATCTAACAAACCAGACTTCCCTGGTGCACAGTGGTTGGGAGTCTCCCTGCCAATGCAGGGGACATGGGTTCAATCTCTGGTCCAGGGAGATTCCACATGCCATGGGGCAAGTAAACCAACGAGCCACAACTACTGAGCCCATATGCCACAACTACTGAAGCTCAAATGCCCTAGAGCCCGTGCTCTACAACAAAAGTTATTGTTGTTCAGTTACTCAGTCATGTCTGACTCTTTGTGACCCCATGGACTGCAGCATACC